AACCCTTTGGGCCTGAAGTGAGGATTCATCAGAACACAGAGAACCTTAACTTCTCCTCTCAGGGAAAGGCTGGGGGATGGGGCAGCACAGGGGGCGGGCAGGTGGATGTCCGCCTAGAATGGTGATAGCAGGTCTGTTCTCCTAATGGAGAAATGGAGGGGAGCCCAACAGGGCTGATGTCTACTTCTCCTGCTCTACTGCTGTCTGAGCTCACCCAACCATCCCAGGCCTCACATGGCCTGGAGCCCCATCCTGGGTGTTGGCGGCGGCGGGGGGGCGGTCAGAGCCAGGAGGAGATATTTCCTGCTCTCAAGGAATTTCCAGCTTGATCTAGGCTCCAGACACACCCGGTGACATCCCTGGCCCTGAGCCACCAAGTCAGAAGCAGAGATCCTCAGGGTTGGAGACAGTGTGGGGCAGGGGTAGGGGGACTGTGCATGTGGGAGGGAGGGTAGGTAGGGAGAGCAGAGAGAGCACTGGGTAAAGGCAAATGGGAGGAGAGGCGTGGGATGGCTTATGTGTCTGTGTGGGATGGTCCTGGGTGGCTTAGAGGGTGGGCTTGTCTCCATGGGGTGGAGCCCGCATCTTGGAAGATCGGCACTGGGTAGGGAGTGGTTGCACAGGGCAAGGAGCTGGTGGGGAAAGGGGAGACGGAGGGAGCCGGTGCTTGGCATCAGGAGCACAGGCACATGCTGGGAACTGGTTTGAACCAGGGGGTAGCAGGTGAGAGCGATGAATTTGGGGTGGGATTTTTGGCTGCTGGGGGCGGGTGGGGGCAGGGAGCAAAGTATCATGGGCAGGGAGCTGGAGCTGTGGTCCAGGCCTAACTGGACTGAGGAGGGCTGAGCTGGAATCAGGCTATGGCAGTGGACGAGAAGAGGCACAATCACTGGAGGGTTAGGGAAACACCGCCAGGGTCTAGAAAGTGTTGGCCAGCAGGGAATGGGGTTGAGGGTCATGCCCCTCAGGCATATGGGAAGGGGTGGAGACACTGTCATTCACAAGACCACATACCCTTGCATCGAAGCAGCATTTATTGAAACACAGACAGACAACCCAGAAGGCAAGGCACCCACAGACAGTCATAACAAGAGGGAGACTCAGGAAGTGGCCTAGCCTTCTCCATCCCACTGGCTCCCATTGGACACACCCCTCCTGCACCCGCAGGGGGAGATCTGGAGCAACCTTGGAGTTTCCTTTGAAATGTATAAAGGTGCAATGAATAGCCAAGACCTGTCCCAAGTCAAAAGGATTCCCCCCTATAATGGGCCCCTCGACTGGGAGGTCACAGGAGGAGTTTGGCTGGGACAGGTTAACCCAAAGAAGGCAGTCAGTCAGAGAGAGAGAAGCAAAACACAAACAAGAATAACCCTGGGGCCAGTGCTTCCTGCAGAACTCCCAGCCAGGAGGGAGGGAGGACTTCCTTTCAGACTCTCAGTCTGTGGGAGACCTGGCCGGAGATCAGGCTCACTCCTTGTCTTGGGGAAGGCCAAGCTCCCGTGATGTCCAGCCACCCTGGGTGACCGGTAGTGTCCCAGAGAGCTTGGAGAATGATATGAACTGGCCACGGGTCTCCTGGAGTCAAGCCGGAGTTAGGGGGAGGGCTGGGAATGCCTCTCTAACTGAAGCCCAGAGGAGAACCAGGAAACAACTCCCTAGAATGAGAAGGTGCAAGAGTACGGCCGAGGGTCTTTCCCTCTGTAGGAACACATGGAAGATTCCAGAAGCAAGCACACGATTTCCATTCACACACCCTTCCGTGCTCTGGGGACTCTAGGCGAAGCGGACGGACCGGCTGCTCCCGCAGCTGAAGCTGGACGAGCGGGGCTGGCAGGGGCCACAGGAGTCAGGGGCCATCACCGTGATGCTGCCTCCTGTGGCCACGGGGCCAGAGGCAATCTGGCGCCCTGGGGTGGTGCTGCACGTGAGGCCCCCACAGGCGACTCCGCCGCGGGAGCTGCTGACACCTACAGGGGGAGAGAGGGGACACAGGGTGGGTGGCCTGCCCTGATCTCCCCAACGTTGTGATAGGCCCCAAGGGGCTTTCCCCTAGCAGGAGCTTCCTCCTCCGGAAAGGGGTTTAGTGGTTAAAAACTCAGGCTCCATTCCTCCCAGCATCTCAGACCTCTAGGGGACTGGGATAGGAAGGAAGTGAGGACCCCCCCCCCCCCAGGCAAATCGCTGGCCCCCTTTTCTTGGCATGCAGTTCCCGTTGCCACCAGTGGAGGGCGCTCAACACCGCTGTCCCTAACCCCATCAGTGCTCCCCAGTGAGGAGCCAGGGGAGGAGGAAAGGCCCCCTCGCGATGGGAAGCATTCTGGGTTTAGCTTTGCCCATCAACAAAGCCATTTTTTGGGGGGTGTTGTTTAAGCAGACACTTACAGACATTCACCGAGCCCACACCTTCACACAGCCTGTGGGGAAAGAAAGATCCGTTAGCTCTGGACAGGGAGCCGGGTTCCTTGAAGCAGGTGGTTGCTTAGGGACAGAGAGGGCCCTTTCTTGTAGAGCTCCTCGCCCCGAGATGCGGGTGGGGGGGCGCCCCAAGGTCTGTGTTGCACGATCACCTTCTTTTTCTAACCGTTCTCTGACCATGGAGAGAAAGCCTCCTGATTTTAAGCCGAGGTGGCGTGCTGCTGACCTCCAGCCAATCTGAGTTACCCCGCTCCCTGGGTAGCACCGGTCAGGCTCAGGGAAAGGAGAGTCAGCAGTGTGCAGCTGTGTGTGTGGAGGGGCTCCGTGCCAGGGAGGAGCCAGTGCATACGGAGCGCACTGTCCTTATGGGGCACGAGCCAGTGTGGCAGGCCAAGCCTCCCCGAGGGAGCTACTGAAAGAAAGTGCGTTCGAGAGGCATGTCGCTGGGGCACACGCTGAGCCTCTTGCACTTATTAACTGAGGCCACGAGAAAGTCACCGCACGCTGAGCTGTATTTCCTCATGTTTGGATGTGAAAAATGAGACTTACCTCACTGGATTGTGAGGATTAATAGTGAGCACTCAGCACGGGCCAAACACACAAGTATTTGACAAATTATGACTATCATTGAAGCTTAGCCTGTGCTAGCAGTGCTTAGAGATGTAGCTCACACTTGGGCTCAGGGAAACACACTCCCAGGGGACCAGGGCCTCCTAAACCTAGAGAGATGCTCCTTAGCCCCACCTGTGCTCCTCGCCCTCCAGCAGCCGCCTGTAGGTGGCGATCTCGATGTCCAGGCCCAGCTTGGAGTTCATCACCTCCTGGTACTCCTTCAGCAGGCAAGCCATGTCCTGCTTGGCCTTCTGCAGGGCGGCCTCCAGCTCCGCCAGCTTGCAGCGGGCATCAGTCAGGGCCGCCTCGCCCTGCTGCTCAGCCTCGGCCACAGCGGCCTCCAGCTTGGCCCGCTATGAGGAAGGGGATGTGAGAGCAAGGATGAGAAGGAGAAGGCGCAGCTTGGCTCACCTGAGCTCCTGGAACTGGGCCAGCAAGAGGGGGCCCCAGAGAGAAGCTAGGTCAACTAAATAGGACCAGGTATTTAATGAGACCTTGAATATGAGGGAGGAGATGGGGGCTTTCACCATCTCTCCTTGCTGGTTGCTGCAGGGTGGCCAAGAAGACTGACATCGGTGATATGGTACATCCCACTTCGAGGGCTGTGTGATTTGGTTGGGTCCCTGCTTCCCCACAGGCACACTGTGAAGACTGATTGGGGCCAGGCCTTTGCCCTCCTGGGGGCAAAGTCCCTGGAGCCGCAGTCTGCCTGAGCTGGGCATTCAAACCCCTCCTTCTACCCTTACCTGGCACTTGGCATTCTCGATCTCAGCGGTGAGCCTCTGGATCATGCGGTTGAGCTCGTTGATCTCCTCCTTGGTGCGGCGCAGGGTCTCCCCGTGCCGGATCACCGTGGCCTTCATCTCCTCACACTGGGGGGAAGCAGAGATGCTCCTGAGGCTCAGATCGCAGTGTCCCACCCACTCAGACACCACAGATGATTGGTAGGTTGTACAGTGCTCAGCCTGTGCAACCATACGTGGCAGCCCTGCTCTACCACCCAAACTGAGAGATGTCTGTCCTCTTACCATCCTTAATAATCAAAATCCCCAGACAAAAGAGGCTTTCTTAAATATATACCTGGCTTCCCTGCCACTGCCATGTTTAGGAGGCAGGTGTCCTATGCCCCTCACCTTGCTGCGGTACCAGGACTCAGCCTCAGCCCGGCTGCGGCTGGCGATGTCGTCGTACTGAGCCTTGATCTCAGCCACAACACAGTCCATGTTCAGGTCCCGGCTGTTGTCCATCTTGACGATGACTGAGGTGTCTGAGATGTGGGCGTGGAGGACCTGGAGCTCCTGGGGGCCAACAGCCAATGCATTTGGGTCTGGTGCCTGATCTGGGCACCCTTAGGGGCAGTGTCCCCTCCCTGGAGGGGGCGCTGGTCATCCTATTACATGACCCCGGCTCCACCTGCTCCCCTTCCCCCTTCGCTCACACACAGGTACATCATAATACAAGAAAGCCGGAAGGGGCCCCTGACTGAACAGGCGGGAAGACTGAAAGCCATGCTGGGTTTTCTCCAAGTCACCTAGCCAGGGAGCTGGGGTTTGAATGCCAGGACTAGTGATTTGTCCATTAATTGAGACCCCCCCCAACCAGAGACTCCCCTTGACCTGCACCCTCAGAAACACACTCTCATACCCAGGTACAGACTAACACGCCCCCAGACCAGAACACGCACACATTGCAACACACACAGGCACTCACAGACGTGGAGAACCACACCCACGCTCCACAGTCCTCAGACACACACTCCAGGCTCTCCCCGGGCACATACGTATGTGTGTCTATCACAGTCATGGCACATGGCCCTCTTGCAGGTGTGTGCATGTTCTCTCATGCTTACATCACACACACGGGGCAAACATGTACACATAGCGCACTCCCTCCCCTCTTGCTCAGGTCCTCCCGCCTCCCCTCTCCCTGCCCTGGCTGGCCAGCAGGGGGCCCCTCACCTCATCATAGAGGCGCTTCAGGAAGCTAGACTCCTCCACCAGAGCCTCCACATTGGCCTCCAGGTCTGATTTCCGCAGGTAGGCGCAGTCCACGTCCTGGCGGTAAGGGAAGAGGAGGGCGTGTGTGTGTATGTGTGTGTGTGTGTGTGTGTGTGTGTGTGTGTGTGTGTGTGTGGCGGGGGGAGGCGTCTGCGGACAGCGTGGTGACTGTGCCGCCACTGAAGGTGTCCGGATGGGTGCCCCTCCCTTCCTGCCCCATGAGCAGCCCCCTCACCTTCTTCAGAACCACAAACTCGTTCTCTGCCGTGGCTCTCAGAGCTACCTCCTCTTCATACCTGGGTTGGGGGGAGAGAGGGGCCGCAGCTGAGGGGTGGGAGCTTGGACACCATCCCAGCTTCTGGGTCAGATCCCCCAGGGGTCCAAAGGGATGGAGACCCTGCGATTGTTAACTTATCCTCTCCATGGTCTAGTTTGTACGCTATTCTTGGGCTAGCGCTTGTCCCAGCCTGGCTTAGGCCACCCCAGTCCTGCTGCCTCTGGGCTGAGTTAAGCGAATGCACACTCCGTTCCCCAAAACGAAATTCCTCTGTGCATCCCAGATCCAAAGAGAACCAGTGCCCTGGGCAGCAAGAACACAGAGCGAGCGTCATAAAATGAGCTGAGATGGGTAGGACCACAGAGAGCTATAGAACTCTACTGAGTTTTCTCTCCTCACTCCCCGTGAAAGCAGCTCTAAGACCCACTGGGGCTCCAAGGGAGAGAGTGGGGCCAAAGAATCTAAGACACTTAGGTCCGGCCCTAGAAAACCCTTCGGGTTCCAGGCAGCCCCTGCTCCTAGACAGGCAGGAATCTTCAGCTGCTTCAAGAAGGTTGAGGGCGGAGCCTTCCCATGCTCCCGTGTGCCCCCAGTCTGGCCGCACTCACTTCTTCTTGTAGCCCTCCAGCACCTCCTGCACGTGGTTGAGCTCCGAGGCCAGCCTCCCGCTGTCGGCCTCCACGCACTCGGCCTCCCGCCTCAGCGTCTCGATGTAGCCATTGAACAGGGGCTCCATGTTGCTCTCACAGCAGCGCTGGTTCTGGTAGAATTGCCACTTGGTCTCCAGCAGCTTGTTCTGCTGCTCCAGGAAGCGTACCTGCGTTCAGGGTGTGAGGATGAGACTTGGGGGTGGGGGGATCCCTGGAGGTGCCTGGTCCCCCAGAGCCCTCTCCACCCTGGATGCTCACTGAGCAGCCAGGGCCCACCGAGGGCCGAGCATGGGGCTGAGGGTCTGTGATGTGAGAGGCCTTGCTCCCAGCCCCCCAGGAGGCAGTGTGGCTGTGGGGGAAGTGCCCCGAGCTTGAGGCCAGAGGTCTGGTTCAAGTCCAGTTCTGCCACTCGGAGTGGGCAAGTTGTCTAACCTTTGGATGCTTGGTCTTCTCATTTCTAAACTGGAGATGAAAATAGTGCCTCCCTTAGAGTTTTAAAGATTGAACAATACATGGAAAATGCTTAGAGCATCCCTGACACATGGTCAATGCTCAACTAATTTGTGACTATAATTAGCAGTTCCTCATTTATTAATCCATGGGACACTTACTGAAACCTTACTGTGTGGTACGAGGGCCCCATGCTAAGATACATACACATCTATCTATTTCTACAGCTGACTCTTGAACAATGCGGGTGTGAGGGGTACTGATGCTTCCTCCCATCCCCACCCCCACCCCGTGCAGTTGAAAATTGGCTTATTAACTTTGGACTCCCCCAAAACTTAACTGCTAATAGCCTATTGTTGACCAGAAGCCTCATTGATACATACATTTTGTATGTTCTACGTATTAAATATTGTATTTGTACAACAAAGTAAGCTAGAGAAAATATGTTAATAAGAAAATCATAAGGAAGAGAAAATACATTTATAGTACTATATTTATCACAAAAAATACTTGTAGATGTGGATTTGCTCATCTCCAGCCCATGTTGTTCAAGGGTCAACTGTGTATCTCTACCTCTATCCATCTGTCTCTGCTCACGTATCAGTCCCATTCAGTTCTCACAGCCCTCCAGGTGGGGGGCAGCATCATTCCCCTCCTAGTACAGATGGGGAAACTGAGATGACTAGCTCATTGTCACACAAATGTCCCCTGAGTCCCCTTCACCTGCCCACCATGGTATGTCTAAGCAGCTCATCTAAACTCAGCTTCAATTTGATAGTAAAAAAATGGAAATACTAATGTCTCCCCCATCGGGTCATTTTGAGGATGAACCAAGCTCACTAAAGAGAAAATGGTAACAAAACTCCTGACCCCAAACCCAGAGCCCAGTCCTATCTGTTCTGCCAGGGTGAGGCCTCGTGGACCCACAGGGAGGGCAGTGGGGGCTTGGGAGGCAGCCCCACAGTGTGGGGGTCTCCGTACTCTGCATCCGTGGGCTTCCTTCCCCCAGCCTGGCTGCCCCTCTTCCCCATTCCCAGCCCTCTGTCCACGAAGGTGGTTGTGCTAGTCCTGGTTGGTTTACTGTCACACCTCCTGTCACACTATTGTCCTGGGAGACTCATGCTGACAGCCAACATTCATTGAGCATTTACTGTGTGCAGCAGTTTTCAAGCATGAATCCATCCATGCTCGCAACATGCATACGAGGCGGGTTCTGTTCTTCAGACAAGTGACATGCCCAAGGTCTCACGCTGCCCAGGGGCAGAGCAAAGATAGGGAGGCAGCGTGGCTCTGAGCCGAGCCCGCCCACTTCCCTGAGCTGCCTGGCTCGGAGCCGTGTGCCTTTTACTCGCCCCATTATCTCGCACTCTCGTAGCTCCCAGTGCCCAATCCAGTTTTCCAGGGGCACCTCTGATATTCCTGTGTTGTCTTGTCTCCTGAAGCACACACACCCTTTAGACCAACGGACTCCATTTCTGGACCACATGGGGCCCTCTGTGCACTTGGCTGGAATTAAAAGATGGACACTGATCCTCTGCCTATGTTGGCCTGCGTTTCTCTCCCTCTGCTGTCTCAAACCTGGCTCCATGCTGTCTCCCCAACACACCGGAACCTTCCCGAGGGGAGGGCCAGCCGGGGCCTTCTCTGGACCATCCCAGGCCTCACTGACCTTGTCGATGAAGGCAGCGAACCTGTTGTTCAGGCACTTGATCTGCTCCTTCTCCTCGTGCTTCACGCACTGCGCATTGGGGTCGATCTCCAGGTTGAGGGGCGTGAGGAGGCTCTCGTTGACCGACACGCTGGTGATGCAGGGCGGGCTGGGCCCGCACACGCCGCCGGAGCGGTAGCCAAAGCTGCGGCCGCAGGAGCCGGCGCGGAAGCCGCCCACGGCCATGCGAGGCCCACAGGAGCCCAGGTTGGAGAGGCTCCGGCTGCCGAAGCCGGTCAGCCCCCGGTAGCAGGACACCCCTCGGTAGGGGGCGGCGCTGATGCAGCAGCGGTTGCCAGTTTTGGGGGCCACAGCCGAGCAGGAGCTGAAGGTCCTGGTGACCCCACATCCTGAGCTGATCCTGTAGGAGCGGCAGGACATCGTGCGGGTCTGAGCAGAGGCTGAGTGCGGCGGGAGTAAGTTCGGGCTTCAGGTGCGCTGCTTAGGATCCTCTGGCCTCTCTGATCCTCCCTGGTCCTTTTATTGCTGGGGAGAGCTGGGGTTGGCTGCATTAAAGGAGTGAAAAGCCATTTTATGTTGTTTATTGGCTTGGGGAGTTTGCCAGCAACTCCCCCAAGACTCGTCTTAAAGGTGAGCTCAGCGTCGACTTAGGGCCTCCGTAAAAGTATTGAAGATGTTATTAGGGACACTGTGTTTGCACTTTTCATCTTCAAAGCTCGTTTACATACATTAAGCAATTAATTTTCTCGCAGTCTCCCTGTAAGGATGGCCCCAACCCACACCCGGAGACAGATTTGAACTCCACAACAGTCTGAGGTGGCTGGGGTTGGGGTAGAGGCTGGGTTGCTGTCTCAAGCGGGAAGGTCTAGGGTCCCAGGTTGGGCGAGACCCTGGGAGCACATTATCTCTGACCTCCTGGCTCCATACAGGACATACTCTCAAGTAAGTCATTGTGTTTCAGGGGCTGATGGATCGGGCAAGTCCAAACCCACCCAGGCACCATGGCCTGGAAGGTGGTTCAGGTCCGTGGGAACATTTTGACCATGCTTCCTGCAGGACAGAGGGCTGGAGCACATGGGCTCTTAGAACCTTCTGGCTACCAGCCCAGAGGTTCTGTTTCAGAGCTTCCATTTCTCATCCAGCAAAATTGCAAACCACTCAACTCTCAGTGGCCACAATAATGGCTTTACTTGTGGGTAATGGGGAGCCTCCCCTTTAGCCACTTTCTCCCACTGGGCTGCAAGGATGGAAGAACCCAATCCTGGGATAACCTGGCTGTTGTGAACTTGCTCTGGGCATTTTCTCTGGGCTTTTTAAGAAGAAACAGGTTGTTTGTCTCTCTTCCTTCCAAGATCACCAACCAGAGGAGGGGCGCATCCTATTCACCAGCCCCAAAACTGCCACCCCTAGAGGAACATTTAGAGACGGGGGCAGGAAAGTGGCTTTTTCTTGTCTGAGGATGCTGTGATTTCTGGCTCTGGGGGCTCTGGGAGCCTGGCTCCTTGTAATGTCCCTGCTTCCCTATGTATCCTGGAGCCACTTATTAGGATAATGATTGCTGTTCTTTTAATGGTCGTTGCGCACAAAGCTGGGGGATGTGGTCTCTGCCCCCAGGGAGGCTAACCAGGCACCTGAGGTATTAGGAACTTCGACAAGGGAAGAAGAGCAGATGAGCGGCCTCTGAGGGTGACAACCCCTTTGGGGAGCCTCCCAGAATCAAGCACTGGTGCTGTGGGGCCGCGGCCTGATGTTCTGCCCTGGTTCTGCCCTCACCTCTATGGCTGGGCCCCCTGCAGCTCTTCACCAAGTACCAGGCTGATTGGTTTCTATCTCCACACTCCACACGTGTTCTTCCAAGGGGGGCAGAGAGACTTTGGGCGGCTGACGGGGAGGAGCAGGAGGCCTCACCAGCTGGCCCCGAATGATCTTCAGATCACAGCCAAGCTGGGCAGTGGAATCGAAGTTGGAGGACCTGGTTCAAGGGCCCGCTTGGATGCTTCCTGGCTGTGTGGCTCTGGGGACGCTCTTAGCTCTCTGAACTTTTGTATGCTTGTGTGGAATTCATCCTTACCTTCCAGGGTTGTTGGGAGGATTATGTGGATAATACAGAAGCATGTGCTTTGGGGACCAGAAAACTCTGTATAAAGGAAAGGGATTCTTGCTTCCTGTCAGAAACACCTCTACCACACCCTGCACCCCTCACCCAGCAGGGAGTGGGTGTACTCCCTGCCCCACCCTGGTCTTCACATCCTCTGCACATTTATGACTTCTTTACCCTTTCAAGGCTGCTTTTAATGTTTCCTTTAACCTGATTTCACTAGTATAAAAATTTGGGGTGGAGTCTGGGGGTGGAGAGAGGAGGCTAGGGAGTGCAGGGGCTAGTTTCCCAGCACCCACTCTTTAGAGGGGGTCTTGTTGGCCTGGTGCCTTGGACGGTGAGCTCCTGACTGCCTGTTGTGTGGACCTGGTAATGGTGTGTGGGGGACCAAAAAGGATTTGGGCCCTTTGAACATGGCAGGGGGAGGGGAACGGGTGAGCATGGGAGGTAGAAGATGGGTGGGCCCTCTGCTCAGCCAGCTGGGAAAGCCCACACACCTCCTCTTCTCAGCTCCCATCAGACTCTGCTCTCCTTCAGCTTGTTGAAAAGGATGGAGCTAGATCTGTTTCTGCCTTTCCTTGGGGGCAGGAGGGAGTGGAGGCTTTTTCCCAGAGAGAGGCTCCTGAGTCAGTTCCCCATGCCTCCAACACACACACACACACACACACACACACACACACACACACACCCCTCCCAAAACTTTACCTTCAATTGGGCTTGGGTTTGGGCACTGAGGGTGGGGAAGAGGGTGCTGGGGGGCTCAGGAGACTTGGGGGAACAAGGGCTTGAGTGGGCAGGAGTGAGGCCCCCAGCCTGGCACGGGGGTGTGCTCATGGGTGCTGGGTGAAGTTTGCATCGCTGCAGATGGCAGCTGAGCCCAGTGCTAGTGGTGACTGCTCAGGAAGCCTGTCTGCATGGTGCTTTGGATCGGAGGGGCTGGGCTGGAGAGGGAGGCTAAGTCTTCATGAGGTTGTTCCCAGGTTGTGCAGGACAAGTGAGAAACTTAAAGACCGGGCCAGTCTGACACAGCTGCTCTGGAGGGTCTGTGTAGACACATGGGAACTGGGCCTTTGCTGTCTAGTTCTACCCAAGAAAGGGACAGAGAACCCATAGCCCCATGCCTGGCTCTACTCCTTACCCACCATCTCTGCTCATGGGACCAACTCTCAGGTGGGAGACTGACCTCCCTTCACCGGCCTCCTCCTCATTTACTGCCTCTGTGCCCTACAGGTTCCCTGCACCGCTCTCCCTACGCCCAAGCCTCCTGTCTGGGCACACCTTTGCCTGGAATGTTCCTGAATGGCTGGCCACCTCCTCCAGGAAGGCTTTGTGAACTAGTCAGAGGGAGGCTGTGATTTCTCCTCCTTTGTGTCAGCTGCTCAAGCAGCTCATAAAATACCCTTTCCGGGGCTTCCCAGGTAACTCCAATGACCTCCTTCCACACCCTCTTGTCTCGGGTGCTGTCATCCATCACCCCCTTTGGTCCTGTGCCCTCCTGCCCCCAGATCTTTTGAAGGCCACACCCAGTGTTGGGAACATGCGCTTAAGAACCCACGTCCCTCTTGCAATGATGTACAATGCTCCCAAGAGGGCACTTCGTCCAGGAAGCCTTCAAGAGCTGATTGAATGAGAGAGACTCTTTTTTTTCTTTTTTAAGATTTATTTATTTATTTGAGAGAGAGCGAGCAAGCAGGAGGAGGGGCAGAGGGAGAGGGGGAGAGAGAATCCCAAGCAGACTCCGTGCTCAACGTGGAGCCCTATGTGGGACTCCATCTCTTGACCCCGAGACCATGACCTGAGATGAAATCAAGAGTTGGATGCTTAACCCACTGAGCCCCCCAGGTGCCCCAGAGTGAGAGAGAATCTTTACCCCACCCTGGAGACCCAGGCACCTGCCATGGCTCCATCTGACTCTGCCCCAGTCCTGGTTGCCATCTCCTGGGGTTTCCCCAGGGACCTATCACCCACACACCCACACACCTCCCCACAGATGGGCCATCCTCCCCCAATGTGCTACCTATGGGACGCTTGCTGGGGCACAGCTGCTCTTCCCCCAGCCCAGGGCTCACTATCTCCCTTCCCTTCTGATCTCTCTACTCTGCTTAAAATCTCCCTTCCTTAAAAAAGGAAGCCTTTCTGGATTTGTCCAGAGATAAAGGAGTGCTCACCACCTTCCCATCCTCCTCTGTCTGCTCTTACAGCTGCCTGCTGGCTCTTGCAGTTTTTTATTTGTATCTGTCTGGGCTCTCGTGGACTGTCTCTCTATCCTTCCTGGCTGGCTGGTTCTCCGGAATCAACCCTGATGGACTCCGTGTGGACAAGCCCCGTCCTGAGCAGGGCCTCGGGGGCTGCCCAAACCCAGCTCACTCAAGTTGGGCAGTGCCCAAGATCAGAAGATCTGCTGATCTTCTCCACGCTTCTTAATTTTTGAATCTACACCACCTCCTGGTGCTGGGACACAGCTCTTTAAGGGTCTCCTAGCCCTGTGACACTTTCTTTGGCTTTCATAAAACTTGGGCATGACTCATGACCCTATGTGAGAGGAGTGAGGTCTGAGCAACAGGGAGGAGCTGGGTGAGCCACTGGGCTATCCCCCAGTGCATCGAGGGCAGGGCCCCTTTGCAGTCAGCCAAGCTGCTCCCTGGCCCGCCCACCTCTCCTCTCACGGGCTGCCCCACCAGCAACTGCAAGAGGCTCTAGGGTTTCTCCCTGAACCTACCCACACACCTTCCTGCAAGCAGCTTCCCCTGGTGGCTTTGCTGTTGTCTGTGGGCGCTCTGGGTCCAAGCAGTGGATCAGTTAATACAGGGCCTCCAATTTCAGAATTGTACCTTAGTAATGTTTTGGAAGCTTTTACTTCCTATCTTTTTTAGCACTAGGACTGTTTCCCTGAATCTCAGGAGGAAAACAGCTACCTAAACTGGCCTCCCACTGCGCTTTGGACACATCTGCAACACTCCTAACTCAGGGCCTTTGCACTGGCTGTCCCTTTTGCTAGAATGCTCTTCCCTCCCCCACCCAGCTGGCTCCATTGCTGCCTGTGGATCTTTTCTCACCTTCAAATAGGCTCCCTGACTCTTCTTTTTAAAATGGCAATCTGGCCTCCCATTCCCAGGGCATTCTTCAATGGGTCTATCTTGCTCTGATCTTTTTCTTTTCTAACACACTCTATAATTGACTTATTTCTTTATTGATTATTGTCATTCTTTCCTCTTTCCCCCATGAAACCAAACCAAAAGGAAACAAAACTCCATGGGGGCAGGGATTCTGTCTGTCTTGTTCACTGATGGTTCCCAAGCACTTAGGACAGCACTGGGAATATAGGAAGTGCTTAGTAAATATTTGTTTGTGACTGCATGTGAAAGTGAATGGAAATCTTGGACAGTTTCGATATTCGATGTTGGCAGAAAATGGCAACTTGTGGGAAGACCTGGCCCAGGCCCCGAGGAGCACACCCAGTTTGGAGCCCTGGGGACTCAGGGCCCACCACAGCTTTTTCCTGTGTGAGGGTGGGGGTTTGCTGAGCACCTGTGGGACCAAAGCCCGACAGAAACCCAGAACGGTGGAAACAGGGCTATGTTGGGCCTGGTGAGACAGAGCGTTTCTCTTTCAAAATTGCTATTCGTTGTTACAGTGTTTGTGTCCTAATCACAGTTTTGGAGGGAAAAAATTGTTTTAGGGGCGCCTGGGTGGCTCAGTGGGTTAAGCGCTGCCTTCGGCTCAGGTCGTGATCCCAGGGTCCTGGGATCGAGCCCTGCATCGGGCTCCCTGCTCAGCGGAGAGCCTGCTGCTCCCTCTCGCTCTGCCTGCCACTCTGCTTACTTGTGCTCTCTCTCTCTGTCAAATAAATAAATGAAAGCTTTAAAAAAATTGTTTTAAAAGACTCATCAGGCCGAGTACTTTGAAAATCCCATGTAGGACCTCCTGGGAAGCTGGCGGCCAGCAGAGGGCAGCAGATCCCCACCGCTGGCCGGGGAGGCCGAGCCCCCGGGTGCAAGAGCCCCAGACGCCAGGAGCTGCCTGCCTGCCTACCTGCCTGTGGCTCAGAGCTCGGGACTCTGGAGGAAGATGCCAGAAACAGTCTGCTGACACTTCAGCATCCACCCGTGTTTGCTACTGGACGGGCTGAGCTGCCGAACACAGCTTCTCTCCATTAGCCATAAAACGAGAACCACGGCTGCCACCATGACCAAAACAATAGCAGACATTTGCTATGCCCCCAACTGTGCCCCGGGCTGGGTGCTGAGCACCTTGGTTGTGTCCCTGTGTGTCATCTCCACAGCGACTCCTTGAAGTAGGGATGATTTTCCCACTTGACAGGCAAGAGGCTTATTGAGATGAAGAGACATAAGAACACGGGGGTGACCAACATGGGTTCTGGAGTCCGGATGCCGCTGCTTCCACCACTCAGCCTCTCTGGGCCTTGGTTTTGTCACCTGTCAAGTAATAATAAAGGAGGCTTAAGAGGGAATAATAATGAAAGTACCTACCACATACGGTCATTGAGAGAAGCAAGTGAGCTAAAGCATGAAACATCGCTGCCTGACTGATGACCTCCCGTCGCACGGCTAGTAAGTTTAGGCCCTGGGATCTGACGGGGCTCTGCCCACACTGGAGCCCATGGGTTTGAACCCCGTGTCGTTGCTGGGGGTGGGTCTCTGGGGGGACTATCGACCTCTTAACAATATAGAATCTTCCAGTTCCGGAAGAGAGTCTTCTCTGTTTGTCTTCTTTGATTTCTTTCATTGTTGTTTGTGGTTTTCAGCTCCTGGATCCTTCCCATACTTTGTGAAGGCTTACACCGAAGCATTTCATTTTTGGGGTGCTACCGTAAATGATATGTAGAGCATGTTATTTATTTATTTATTTTAAAGATTTATTTATTTATTATTTGACAGAGAGAGAGAACAAGCAGGGGAGGAGCAGGCAGAGGGAGAGGGAGAAGCAGCTTCCCCACTGAGCAGGGAGCCTGACGTGGGGCTCGAGCCCAGGACCCTGGAATCATGACCTGAGCCTAAGACAGACGCCCAACTGACTGAGCCACCCAGGTGCCCCGGGCCTGACTTTTTTTTTTTTTTTTTTTGCTGTTGTTGTGAGATTTAAAACTACACATTCAATTCCTTTAGTAGACCTACAGCCGTTCGGGTAGGACTGGTTACACAATTTATGGGGCTCAGTGTGAAACAAAAATGCAGGGCCTGTTGTTTAAAATTAAGAATTTCAAGAATTTTCAAAAATTTCACACTTCAAGATTTTAATGACAGTAGTCAGTGAACCACGTGTGGGGCATTCTTTGGTGTTGGACCCTGTGTGATTTTGCACAGGACACACACTAAGAGTTCTGGTCACAATTCTGATGTGTGTGTGGGGGGGAGCAATTTCCCACACCAACAAGCAATTCTTGGATAGCTGCTGGATGTCCGGCAATTCAGTTCAATTCTGACATTATCTGCCTGGAGATAGCATCAGATTCCATGAATTAAGGCTTCAGTCCTATAGCACCCCTCCGTGTCACCCCTCTTCCCACTTTAGATGCCAGATGGACTTCTGAGCAACAGCTATAGATTAGAGCTTCCAGCGATCCTCTCTCTGGATCCTATCTGTTGGCTACCGCAGCTTACAGAACTCAGAGAAGCGTTTTACTTACTAGATTACTGGTTTATTATAAAAGGATGTAACCCAGGAACAGCCAGGTGGAAAAGATGCATAAGGCCAGGTGTGGAGAAGGGTGCGGAGCTTCCAGGCCCTCCCTAGACACACCACTCTCCTCACATGTCCGTGTGTTCACTAGCCTGGAAGCTCTCTGAGCCCAGTCCTTTTAGGTTTTTTTTAAAAAATATTTTTTATTAATTTATTTGACACAGAAGGAGAGAGAGAGACAGAGAGCAAGCACAAGCAGGGGGAACGGCAGGCAGGGGAGAAGCGATGTGGGGCTGGAGCCCAATGTGGGGCTGGAGCCCAATGTGGGGCTCGATCCCAGGACCCTGGGATCAGGGCCTGAGCCTAAGGCAGCCACTTAACTGACTGAGCCACCCAGGCGCCCCTCCTTTTAGGTTTTGCTGGAGGCTTCAGTATGTAGTCATGATTGATCCATTCAACCTCCAGCACCAGCCCCTCCACTCCCCGCCGCCAGGGGAGGTTCCAACCCTCTAATCACTGGTTGGGTCCCTGGGCATCTAGCCTCTCTTTAGATACAGTCTAAAAGTCAACTTATTAACATAACAAAAGACAACTTTATCATTCTCCTCCCTTAGGAAATTCCAAGGGTTTTAGAACCCTCGTGCCTGGAAGGGGATGAAAACTAAGTATCTATTTCTGATTACAAATCACAGTATCACACATGCCCATGAAGCCGGCCCTGTATTCGGGTTATTTTTTCTTGAATGAGCTTTGGTAATTTGTGGTTTTCAAGGAATTAATCCATTTCCTCTAAGTTCCCAGATTTCTCGGCATAAAGCCGTTTGTAATATTCCTTTATTAACCTTTCAATATCTGCGGTGTCTGTAGAGATGTCCCTCTTTCACCCCTGCTGGTGCTAATTTTTGCCTTCTCTTTCCCCGCCCCTTGTTCAGTTTGGCTAGAGGTTTACCCATTTTGTCATTCTTCTGAAAGAACCAGTTTTCAGTTGTATTACTTTGTCTTTCTGTTTTTCAATTCCATTGTTTTCTGCTCTTTTCTTTATCATCTCCTTTCTTCTCTTTACTTTGTGTTTACTTTGCTATTCTTTTCCTAGTTTCTTTCTTCTTTTTTTGAGAGAGAGAGAGAGGTTGGAGGGGGAGGGGCAGAAGGAGAGAGAGAGAATCCCAAGTAGGCTCCATGCCCAGAGAGGATCCCGACGCTGAGCTTAATCTCACAACCCTGAGATCATGACCTGAGCCGAAACGAAGAGTCAGACACTTAATCAACTGAGACACCCAGGCACCCCTGTTTTCCTGGTGTCTTAAGAGGGAAGCTTAAATAATTGATTTGAGACCTTCCTTCTATTCTAACTTAAGTATTCAATGTGATAAATTTCCCTCTAAGCACTGCATTAGCTGCATCCTAAAATTTTGATATGCTGTGTTCTCATTTTCACTCAGTTAAAATATTTTCTAACTTTTCTTGTGACTTCCTCTTTGATCTGTTTGTTATTTAGAAGTATGTTGCTTGGGATATTCGCCAGATATTGTTCTGATACTGAGTTATAACTTAATAACACTATGGTCAGAGAACATGCTTTGTATGGGGTTGAGTTTTTTAAACTTGTTGAGATTTGTTTTATGGCCCAAAAATGGCCTGTTTTGGTGAATGTTCCCTGTTGTCACTTGAGAAGAACATGTATTTTTCTGTTTTATGGGTGGAATGTTCTACAAATGTCATTTGTCAGGCTGAGTGATAGTGTTGTTTAGGTCTTCTGTATTCCTATTGATTTTCTGTCTACTTGTTCTGTTGATTACTGAGAAAGAAGGGTTTAAATCAAGTATGATTGTGGATTTGCCCATGTTGCCTTTCAGTTCTATCACTTTGTGCTTCATGTATTTTGAAGCTCTGTTGTTAGGTGCATACATATGTAGAATTGTTATGTCTTCTTGTTGAATTGACCCTTTTAGCCATATAATATCTCTTTACTGCTGGCAGTATTCCTTGTTCTTAAATCTAATTTGTCTAATATTAATACAATCATTCCAACTTTCTTTTGATTATAGTTTTTATGATATACCTGTTTCTATCATTTTAATTTGACTTATCCATATCTTTATATCTAAAGTGGATATTTTGTAGACAATGTATATTTGAATTTTTTAAATCTAATCTGACAATCTCTGCCATTTAATTTGGACCATTTACACTATGTGTGATTATTAATATGGTTTTATTTAGAGCTACCATTTTATTATTTGTTTTGTTTTTGTTCCTTCTGATTTTTGTCTCTTTGGTACCCCTTTCCTGTCTTTTTTGGATTATTTGAACATTAAAAAATATTCCTTTCAATTTATTTATTAACTTTTGATTATATCTCTTTGTATTATGTTTTTAGTGGCTATGCTAGAGATTACAGTGTACATAATCTAATATTTCACAGTCTACCTAGTAGAGTTAATATTTTGTCACTTCATGTAAAATGTTATAGTTGTCGTAGATACTCATCTACATACATTGAAACCCTGCCAGACAATGTTATAATTTTTGTTTTTAATAGTCAGCTACATGCTTTAAAGAATATGAGAGAAGGAAAATAGTCTTATGTTTAGTCAGTATTTACCATTTCTGTTGCTCTTCCTTTATTCCTGAAGTTCTATGTTTCTTTCTGGTATCACTTTCTTTCATTCTGAAGAACTTCTGCCTTAATTTTAGAGTAGGTCTGCAGATGGCGAATTCCCTTAGTTTTCTTTCATTTGTCTCGTCCCCTCCCCTCCAATTCTTAAAGATACTTTTGCTGGCTATAGAATTCTGGATTGACAATCCTCCCCTTCCCCCCAGTACTTTAAAGAGGTTGTTCACTTTCTTCAGCCTTTTATAGTTTCTTCTTTTTAATGATTTTATTTATTTATCTGAGAGAGAAAGAGTGCATGAGCATGAGTGGGTGGGGGGCAGAGGGAGAGGGAGAAGCAGGCCCCCTGCTGAGCAGGGAGCCCAATGCAGGGCCTGATCCCAGGACCCTAAGATCATGACCTGAGCCGAAGGCAGATGCTTAACTGACTGAGCCACCCAGGTGCCCCCAGCCTTTTATAATTTCTGATGAGAAATCTGTGGTATACATATACATAACGTGCCATTTTTTCTCTAGCTATACATAATGTATCATTTTTCTCTAAAGTATTTTTTCAATATTTTCTTTTCTCTTTATTCTTCAGATTGCATAATTTCCATTGATCTATCTTCAAGTTATTGACTTTCTTTTGTCCCTTCCTTTTTGCTATGGAGCCCATCAATTACTTTTAAATTTTAAATGTAGTATTTTTTTAGTTCTAAAATTTCTATTTCGTTCTGTTTTTATAGTTTGTGTTATCTGCTGAGAATTCCTACCTTTTAATTCACTTCAAATGTGTTTACCTTTATCTTATGGAACATCATTATAATAGTGATTTAAAATCTTTGTGTGATAATTCCAACATCTGTATCATCTTGAGATTAGCATCTGTTGATTTTCTTTACCTTTGAAAATTGGTCACATTTTCCTGGTTTCTTGATGTCAAAATAATTTTAGATTGTATCTTGGACATTTTAAATATTATGATGTGTAGACTCTTGGTCCTACTAAAATCTTCTGAAGAATTTTCTGTTTTGTTTTGTTTGTTTAATAGGGAATCTGCCTAATTAGGTTCAGACTGAAAGTTCTTCATCTGTGGGAAACTTAGTTCAATTGCAATTTTCAAGCCTTCTTTGCTTGCTGATTTGTGTCTGTCCTGTGTCTATCCACTTAGAGTGTGTCTGAAATGTGGGCAGTGACTTAAATGTTACTTCAGTTCTCAAAGCTTTGGCATGCTATTTGGGTCTCTCATGCATGTGTAGCTCAAGGGAGAGCCCAGGACTTGTACATGTGTGGATTTACACACAGAGGAATCTGCTCCTCCAGTTTTTCTCTCTCACCCTTTCCCCCGTAGAA